CCACACAGCTATGCAACACAAAGTTGATTGTACCAGACCTCAGCTCCCTCCTCTCCCTTCCTGAGTTCCGATGCTCCAGGCCAGGCTACCCCTCCATGGATAGTGTCTGTTCTGTATAGGTTTGGACACTCCCTTACTTTGTTCTCCTTCACCCTACAACTTGGGTGTCCACACACTGTGCCCAATCACCCATCCAAAGGACACGCTCCTCACCCCACTCCAGTCCTATGCCAGCCTCTGTTCCTGAGGCACAGTTCCCCTGGCTCCCAGCTCAGACTACTTTACTCTTGTGGGCTACCTTCCTCAACATGCCCAGCGCCTGTGTGCCATGTCCGTATCACGTGTATACCCTTACTAAAACTAAAGAGAAGTTAGAAGGATCTTCTACTTCAGTACTTATGACAATGAAGTGGAGTCACATTGTAAACACACTTCACTTAGAGGAGTTCATACCCACCACCAGTGGGAATGACTCGCCTCATGACCTAGTCCATGGAATGAGCTTAAAAAAGCGAGACACAGGCAAATATTCCAATGCAGTGGTTAAGCTACTGCCTGTGATGCCAGCATTCCAAATGGGCATTGAACGGGAAGTGGAGCAGCTGGGTCTGGAACCAGCATCTACATGGGATGCAGCAGCTATCCACTCCCTGGTAATTCACCTGGGAAAGCCTTGGGTAAAGGCCCAGATACTTGAGCCCCTGCTTCCCCCCTGCGAGGCCTGGTGGGAGTACTAGGCTCCTGGTGTCAGCCTGGCCCAGTGGATAGGAGATCTGTGTCTTTCTGTCTCTGCATGTATCGCTCCCTTTTTCTGTCTAACTCTGCTTTGCACATAAGTAAGTAAATCTTAAATTAGAACATTTTAAAAAGGAAAGATGAGCCCTCTGCCCTCTGCTGGACTCAGTTTCTGAGTTTAGCTTGAGAATAAGCGGCTGACCAAAATGACTCATTGAATCTTAGGACATTTTTTGCTCAGTGGCCCCTACTCGAGCCCAGTATCCAAGTGCATCACTGTGGGGTAGGTTTGCCTGTTGGCCATCATTACCATAGCTTTGCCTATAGAATCGGCCCCTGCATGGCTTTCCTGGACCTATCCTCTGGACCTGTGATGCCCCCATGCCAGTGAGGCAGTGTAGTTAGACCAATGACAGTGTCACCTGTGTTCTTTTACATTTAAAACTTTTTGTATGCTTCACACAAAACCATTTGACCATCAGGCCTAGAGGCAAGGGCAGGGCCTGGAGCCAGGTTACCTGGCCCACCATTGGTGAGAGAAGGTAGGTCCATGGCCTCATGCCTTGGAAGTAAGTGCACCCCTGCTGGCTCTTAATGTCTGCTGATTGGGTCATGGTAATACACCTTTATGGTTTTTATTATTTTTTTTTAATTTTTAGATTTTTTTTGTATTTATTGAAAGGTAGAATTACAGAGAAAGAAGGGAGACAGAGAGGTCTGCTAGAAATAACTGCAGCGGCTGGGGCTCCATCCAGGTCTCCCTTGTGGGTGGCAGAGACCCAAGTCCTGGACCTCTTCTGTTGCCTTCCAAGGTGCATGAGCAGAGGCTGAACTGGAAGCGGAGCCGCTGGAACTCAAACCAGTTGCTTATGTGGGATGCGGGCCTCATAGCTGGCAGCTGAACCTGTTGCAACCCAGCTCCTCCGCCTCTCAACCCCCCGCTTCCTTTTTTGGTTATATTTTCTTATCTAAAGTACTTGGGAAAGAGGTCCAGCTCCTCCTGCCGGGATGGTTATTCTCTGCCATGCCTGTTTCTGACCAGGATTATGACCCTCTTGAGTGCAGCCCTGTTTGTCTGCCTTGCTGCTCCCAGGCCTGTGCCCGAGCTCCACTGACAATGGCACTCTGCAGTGAGAACACAAGTGGTGGCCAAGAGGTCCACATAGAGCAGGACCCGTGGATGGCCAGGGAGCAGCAGCGGAATGCAGCATTTGTTTCCTGTCTGTGCAGCAGGAAGCGTTGTTCCCCGCTGGTGACAGACACACACAGAATGGAGCGGAGGGTTGCCTCATCCTCACCTGCAGCCTCTCAGGCAGCGAGAAGCCGAGGCCGGGCCACTAATGAAGCAGTACAGGAAACGCCACTGGATACAGCTCAGCTGTGAACCCTGGCCTCCCAGCAGAGGCGAGCGGGGCGCCCTTTGAAGAAGACAGCTGGGCTGTGGCTTCAAAACCTTGCCACTGCCGTCACTAGGCACTCATCTGTCAGCACACAGGGGACCCCATGTGGGCAGCAGTTGTGTCCAGCCAGGCCTGAGGGAGGACTGCCGCTGATTTCCAGGGCAGCTACGGAGCCTCCTGTGTCCCGCCATGGGTTCTCCCTGGCATAGCCACAAAGTGCTGGTGGACTTCGGCCAGCCAAGTGGTCCCTGCCGCAGCATCTCTCTTCAGCCCTAGAGTGGTGTAGAGGCTGGGTCTGGAGGTCCCTGCCCAAGCTGCGTCATTCAGCCGAACCTCCTTGTCCCCAGCAGCTTGTAGTATAACCCCCAGCTGTGGGAGGATCCAGCCTGCCCTACTGTGCTGGGCCACTACTCCTAAAATGAGTCGCATTTTCCTCCCATTGATGGGAGGGCAGGGTGACCTTGCAAGAAGGTAGTTTTCCTTCTTTCTTCCCTCCCCAACCTCTCTGCCTGATGTCAAGTTGCTAGATTTAACTGGTGGCATTTTTCTTCCAGGGGAAAAAAAAATAATAATAATGTGTAATCCTTGGTTGAATTTGTTTACCAAGAGTCTTCCAATCTGTGCAAGAGTTTTCTTTGGAGGGGATTTCTCCTTCCTTCCATAATGGCTTTTAACTCGGCCGAGGTTTATTTAACCGTGGAGGAAGGGGGAACTTATCTCCTCCCTAATCCCTCTTGAATGTTTACATTTCTCTGCCAAAGTAAACGCTGTGTGAAGTGGCAGTGGCAGTTCTCTCAGTAATAGTCCATCTGCAGCTGCCAGAGCTGATGGCAACATATTAACATAAGTGATAATGCTGTCATAGAAGTGAAGAGCTAAGTTGCTTATCGCTATCTTTCGATAAGCTACTTAAATTGTACAGTAGCGTGTGTCAGCTTGGGACAGACGTTAATGACCGGGAGGTGCACACTTTATCTGTCCCCTCTGTTGTCTCTCACTTCATTTATTACCCTCAGCAGCCCTGTCGGTAATCTGTCCGGTGCGCTGGTCCCCTCTCCCTGGCAAGATGTCACATCTGCACTGGGGCCTAAGGGTTTAGCACTATCAGTGACAGAGGCCGTGAGCTCCCCAGGGCAGACCTGAGTCGCGGGGAGTGCTTGGTACCATGAATCTCTTACGTGCCTGTCTGATGGAGCTTTGGAAAGTTACTTCTAGACAATAGAGTCCTGTAAAGTCAGTGGCACAACTTGGGAGCAGGGATGCTTTTCATCAGCTCCGTAGCACCCCAGGGTGGTGGTTTCACTGCTGGTCTTTGCCTAGTTGTGTTTGATCTGTAAATGCTGAGCCCTGAGCACATGCCAAGCTGAAGGAAGAGGTATCTCTTACCTTTTGCCTGTGTACAGACAAAGGAGGAGCCTGGCGTGTAGCTGAGGGGGGGATGTTAGGCAGATGTGTGTGCGTGGAGCCAGGGCCGCACAGAAATCCAGGGGGTCTGGGCAGGTTAGGTGGGAATGGGGAAGGTGTGTTGAAATCAGGCACACCAGACCACATAGGTCAGAGGGCCAAGGAGCCAAACCCAGGCAGGTTGGGAATGCTGAGAGAAATGTGTCAGGGCATTTCAGTTTGCAGGGAAATGGAATTGCTAGGTAAGTTTATTGCTGCATAAAGGTTTGAAACCCATGAATAGTTTCCTATATAGTACTTTCTTTGAACTTTAAAAAATGATCCATTTATTTACTTGTTTGAGAGCGGGAGAAGAGAGAGCTGCCACTTGTTGGTTCATGCCCCAAGTGGTCACAGTGACTGGGGAGTGGTGGGGCTGAAGCTGGGATGTAGGTACTCAGTGCACGTCTCCCATGTGTGTCCCAGTTACTTGAGCCATCACCTGCTACTTCCCAGGCTCTGTTTTAGCTAAGGCTGAAGTGAAACCAGAACTGAGGATTAAACCTGGGCATTCTCGTAATGTGTGTCTTCACAACTCAGCCAAATGTCTGTCCATCCATGAACTTTTTGAAGAACCCTCGTATGTATAGATTTAGCATTTTTTTCCACACCAAATTAAGCTTATCATTTAATTCTGTTTTCCACAAGCTTTTTGAAGTACACTATATGTAGCCAACTAGAGGGAGGATGGCTGGAGAGATAGTCAAGTGCCTGACCTGAAGAACCTCAAAAGCCATGCCAAGTGTGGGCTGGATCCTGTCCCAGGGCCGGGGTGGGGGATGGGGGAGAGTCATTGCAAGAACTAAAACCAGCATGCCACATAGATTAGCAATTTAAGAGAGCTGCTGGGAGGATCCACAGTGGATAGGCTGCTGGCAGGACCTGAACCAGGGCAGTGGAGTCTGAGAGAAGAGTTAGAGCTTGCTCTAAGAGGGAGAGTATCCCATGTCCCATTGGAAATGGTTTGGGGTTCCTGGGCCTGTGTGATGGCTTGTAGGCACCAGCAGTGAGAAGTGTGTGAAGGGGGAGGGGTATGGCTGTGTGTGTGTGTGAGAGAGAGTGTGTGTGTGAGTGTGTGATCATGGGAAATAGAATAGATACTTCCCTGGGAGGGAAGCTGGCTGTGGAGGGAGGCCCAGGGCTACTCGGAGATGGGGCCTGATTGTGGAGTTGTCTTTGAATTTCTTCTCAGTGAACCTGTTGTAGCTGTGAGGCACGGGAATAATTTATAATGGACATTCATCCCTCTGCCTTACTCAGACGGATTTTGAGACTCTCAGAGATAATTAGCATCTCAGCAGTCTGTGTTTCCAGCCCAGTCTGTGACAGGAAGACTGCAGGACCTAGAGGAAAACTGGCAAGCACCATCTCGGATAAGGTCCTGTTCGGGTTCTGACCCATGTGTTTCTGCTTCTTCCCCAGCTACCTCCCCTGGTTCGAGGTGTTTTATAAGCTGCTCAACATCTTGGCCGATTACACGACCAAAAGACAGGTATTTGCTTTTTATTTATTTTTTTTAATAATAATTCTTTTGAATATGTAAACTTTAATGTTGATGGTTGTGAAAAATAAATGACGCCTTTTACTTCAGAAAAACATTTACCAGGAAAGGTAATGTGTCCCTATGAATGAAAGTTAGGAAAGTCAGAAACGTAGTAGGAGGGCCAGCATTGGGGTCCTACGACATCGGTTTGTGTCCGAGTTGCTGCACTGCTGATCCCAGCTCCCTGCTAATGGGAAAACAACCCTAGCTGGCCCAAGGGCCTGGGCCTCCGCAAGACGTAAGGGACCCGCAAGAAGCTCCTGGGTTTGGACTGGCCCAGCCTCAACTATTGCAGCCATCTGAGGAGTGAACCAATGGATGGAAAATCTCTTCCTCTCTCTGTGTATGTATGTGTATGTCTCTCCTCTCTCTGTAACTCTGCCTTTCAAATAAAAATAAAATCTTTTAAAAAAAGTAGTAAGAGAGTAATACAATGATTTCTAATCTGCCCCACCCTGTTCCATAAAACAAACATTGCTAGCATTTTGAGTTGTTTTTGTCCCTATTTTTTTCCTTTAAGTTAAATAAATAATATAAATAGACCCTTAATATTTTTTTAGTTAATATTCATAGTCGCTAATATCCCCAAGCAGCCCTGAAAGTTCACAACTTACATTAAGTTATGATTTTGCCAGGGCATATATTTCAGTTGCTGACGTCACATTGCAAAGCTGGGGTTTTCAAATTCAACCCTTAAGTGGAAAACCAGCTGCTCAGATTCCTGAATTCCCACTTTATTAGAGAGTAGCAGTGAGCACACACGCTCAGCTCTTAGATTCTAAATAATCCCCATTGGAAGGAACTAGGGGCTGGAGAAGAATGGCCTAACCCCAGGGCTGGGGCAGGGTATGGATCACGTGAACCTGAAATACCTATTGTGCCAGGAAGTAAAGAAACCTTGAAAAGTTGATGGGAACCTACAAAACAAGCCACAAAACTGAGCTTGGAGGGCTGGGTCCCCCACTGGCTGCAGCTGGAGCGGTTTGCCGTCGAAACACATACTGGGATGAACGACAGCTTCTCATCGTGTAGGCCCCGGAGGAGTTAAGGACACAGTTAGGAGAACTTACCAAGCAATATGAAAAGTCTGGAAATAATCTGAAGGCCCGTGAAGTGTTGGGCAGCCTGTGAGTGAAGCGCTTAAGCTGGAGTACTGAAGAAAAAGTCATTGTTAAAGTTATAAATGGACCAAGATATGTTGCAAGTTGTAAACAGCTTGACAAAACTAAGGTAAAGCCAGGAACAAGACTTGCTTCAGATATGATTACACTATCATGAGATATCTGCCAAGAGAGGTAAATCCACCGGTTTACAATATGTCTCATTAGGACCCTGGAGATGTTTCTTGCTCTAAGATTAAAGAGCTGTCAGAACAGATCTGGGAATTAAGAGAGATAATACAATTACCTCTTACAAATCCAGAATTATTCCAGCATGTAGGAATAATACCCCCCAAAAGACTGTTTGTATTTGGACTATCAGGCACAGGAAAAACACCCTTGGAAAGAACTGTTGCTAGTCAGCTGGACCATAGCTTCTTAAAGATTACATCTAGTTCCATTGTAGACAGATATATTATTCAAAGTGCTACAGTCAGAAAATTTAGATAGAAAAATATGTAAGCTATGTATTGATTTACCAGATGAACAAGCAAGAATAGATATGTTACAGATCCGTGTGGGTCCCGTTACAAAACATGGTGAAATAGATTATGATGCAAGTTTTCAGGTGACTTTAATGGAGTCGAGCTGAACAGAGCAGGTATGTTTGAGTTCATGTCGATCATGGTTTTGTGAAACAGGAACATTTCATACAAGTGACTGATTCTAAGGAAGAGGAGGCTAGATTGGACTACAGACCTGCATATGTACTGTAAGGGTTTTTTTTTTTTTATGGCTGCATGACAGACATTGACGTAATGTAAAAGTTACAGATAATAAAGTGTATATTTGCAATGATCTCATGAAAAGTGTATGAATAAAGTCTGTATGAGTTGTAGCAAATAGATTAGTATATAACTCAGTGATTTAACTTTTAAGATTGATATAAAAGAAATTTGTATGTTAATGTTGCATTTATTGCAGCAAAATTTACAAAAGAATATAATGAAGCTTTTCATATTTGCTGTGTGAACGTTTTGTGAAACATCGAAAATGGTTCTAGAAGTAGCAAAAGAGAGAATATCTTATGAATTATTTTATATCATTTTCTTCCTCATCTTAAATATTGAGTAAGATGTTTGACTCAAATTCCCGTTTAAAAAAACTATACTGACAGCAAAGGATGATAGCCCAAAGAACAAAACAGGCAATCGTATGCCAACAGTGAGTAATACCAAGAAATAACTGGAGAAATTGAAAATGTAAGGAATTGATATTTACATGAAGTACTCCACAAAATGCTCATTAAATACAAAGGAAAGAGGAATCGCACAGTAGGGACATGAGATGAAGTAATCAAATGATCAGTGCACACATCAGCAGTAAAGGAACAAACTGAAACGTGAATCATGAGACTCGAGACTCATTGGGAAGAGTGGGCGCTCCAGGAGCGCGAGGAGCTGTCCCAGGCTGAAGACGACTCGGGCATCCTAACTACTGCAGGCAACAGTGTGTGGTTCTCAGCCGTGTCCTTGGCCCTCATGGGTGTTACTGGCACAACTGGCAAAACTGGATGGGTTCTGAAGAACAGATGGCAGGGCTGCTTCGAGGTTAATTTCCTGATCATGACGATGAGTCCTGGTTGTGTGGAAGAATGTTCTTGTTTGTAGTTATGAAGGACGGGGCAGAATGTCAGCCACTCACTCATGAATAGTTTGGGGCATAGAGAAGTTTTTTCGTGCTGTTTCTGCAGCTGCTGTGTGGGCCTGAGCAAGAACACACCTGCACCCTTCTGTCCATCTCTGTCCTCTGTGAGAAACACATTTGCTTTTTCTGAGTTCAGGTTCAACTGAGATTATAGTCTGGGCTCAACCTGCTACCATCCCATAAGTTCACTGCTGAAGACGGCTGGGACGAGGGGGCCCTGGGCTGGAGCACAGAACGCCTGCTACTCTCCTTCCAGCTGCATAACTCACAGACCGCTGGTTTCAGGGACACCGCTTCACCTTCTTTAGCCTCAGTTTTCACATCTTTCATAAACTGTGGGCATTTGGGAGAATCCAGTAAATAGCAAATGGGTGCCAAGTGTGAAACTACTTCTCTTATCTTGGCACAAAGAATCCCACAGGATGAAAGGAACGGCCTTTGGATAATTCCATGTGTGGTGCGCGTTTGAGCATCTTAAAGGTGACTATGTTTCCATCGAATAATTTGTACCGCCTGGCATGTCATTTTGTTGCTCAGCTTCACTAATTAAAATGCACAGCCACCCTCCTGTATCGCATGCCGTTGCGCTTAGTTCATGTCTAACTTTCCGTAATTGGAGGCTGCCGTGTGCACCCGGTGAACACTCAATAAAATTAATTGAGGGCAACGATGATGAAGACAGGATCTATAGTATCCTCGTTATCTCTCTCAGCCACCCCCGCCCTGGAAGCTGGGGTTGTTTGCATTCAGAAGTTGTTGCTATGGAGTTGAGGGGATAGATTTGCTTGAGAGCTTATGGTATATGATCCATATAAGGCGGTCATGGTAGGTGTCTCGCTGAGTAGAAAATGTCAGAGTTGGTGTGGGAGGATCCATTTGGTGCTTCTGTCTGAGCCAGCCGCCATGTCTCTGGTCCAATCCTCCTTGAACATCAAACCTTTTTCTATACCGGGGCCAGCATCTCCCTGCACTCCTCAGGAGAGCCTGCACCTCGCAGCTCACTATGCACCCAGAGCCCCTGCAGGTCTTGTACGAAGAGTCAAGCCTTGCTCCGGTGACCTAGCCTTTTGTTTCTTTCAGGAAAGCCAATGGAATGAACTCCTTGAAACCCTGCACAGACTTCCTATCCCTGACCCAGGAGTATCTGTTCATCTCAGCGTGGTAAGTGAGCAAGGAAGGTGGACAGGTTGGAGAGAGGAAGCGTGTCATTGTCAACAGGAAGAGGTCATGTGCTCCTCTCCCTCCCCACACACACTCCATTCTAGAATACTCTGAGACTCCTGGGCCTGGGGCAGGCCAGGATGTCAGATTCTTCTTTTGTTGAGATTCCATGTCCCCAAGCTCCTCTTTGGCCATCATCCCGTCACGAGCAGCTCCTCCATGTCAGACCCTAGGCTGGCGTTGGGGCTCTACTCCTGCCTTTCCCTTCAGCCCTTCAAGGGGTTCTCTGCATCCTCCTTCACCCCGTGGCTCTGCACTGCTGAAGTCCTTCCTGCACCCTCAGCCATTAGCCTCCCCATTCCTCTCTGCCCAGGTAACCCCTGTGAATGCTTAGGCGTCAACTACAATTGCACCTCCAGAGGAGTCCTCCCTTGACGCTTTGCAGTACTTAGTTAACGTCACTGGAGTGATGTGTTTTCCTGGCTTCCTCTCTGGATTGCGTGGCCCTTGAGGACCGAGAGGCCATGGGCTTAGCACAGTTCCTGATCCACGGTAAGCGTTTGAAAGCAGTGTGCCAAGACAGAAGAGTCCTTAAGCAACACGAGATTTCAATCCTAGCTGTCATGTGGCCAGTGACCTAAGTGCTTTAATCAAGACCTTTAACCTTGTGGGTCTCAGTTTCCAAACCTGTCAGGTAAGACCTCAGAAGAGACCTAAGAGGTCTCTTCCCTGTTTCAGTAGTTGAAATTCCCTAATTCCCTCAGTGAAACTTTGTCAGTGATGTTATCAGATGGACACACTTTGGCCAGGAGTACCGCAGGAGCTGTGTTTCCTGTGTCATGGGGTCTGGATGCTTAGAAACCATGTCTGTAGCTTCATCAGAACCAGCCATGCTGTTGGTATTCAATAGTGAGAGCAGCACCTGCCCCCATCAAGAAAAGTAAGCTTTCTTAGAGCTTTTCTCAGAATAATGATGAATGTCAAAACAGCAGTCCCATTAATTACTAATAATAGAGCTAGCATTCCATTAGGTTTCTAATTTATACTAAATATGCATCTCTGGTGTTGAAACAGCTTTCTACGAAATAAAGATCAATTACCCATTTCATTGATGGAAAATTTAGAGAGGCAAAAGTACTTGTCCACTCAAAGAAATGTGTTCAGGAAGTGATAAGATTCGGGTTTTCCAACCCACTGTTAGCTTTAAAGCTGAATTGTTTCTACTGTGCCATGTGTGTTGAGTTATAGAGGGGAAGGGAAGGGAAGAAGGGCAGAAGGGCAGGAAAACAGGTGTTTTGTGCAAGTTTTGCCCATTTTAATAGAGCATAAGAAAGAAAGAAACCTTGGTACAATCCTTCTCCTGAGGGAAAGCACAGTGATCATGCAACATGTGATCGGAGGAGCTTCAGACCTGCCGTCACCACAGCCCTGCCATTGTCTGTCCCTGGTCCTAAGCAGCTTGCTTTCACTGCTTCCATCTGTAATAGCATCCACCACATTTCCCTGCAATGGCCTGGCTGGTCACCAGCTGCCGAGAGGAAGGGCCATTCCTTTCCCCACATGGCTGCACGGGCAGCGAGCCTGCCAGGCCCTGAGGACACGCCACCTTGGGCAGGCAGAACTGTTGGGTGGTGCAGCTGTTTCGTGCCAGTGGTTTTGAGGAATGTCTGTGACCTCCCATGGTCCCCAGCATTTCATGGGCAATGGAGCAAGACAGTCTCAAAGGACAGCCTGGGGCCTACTCGCTTTGGGATTGCATTGGCTCACCACTTACAATCCACTGCGTCTATAAACGCAGATATTTCCCCCCTCCTCTTGTCTAGGATTCCTTTCTCCAAACTACATTTCTGGTTTTGAAATTCTGATTTTTTTTCTACCATCATCTAGATCATAAATCCTGAAATACTGATAAAATGGTAACACTGGATTCTTTGGAAAGAGACAGTTTCTATGTATCTGATATAGATGGCTGAGAAAAGTAGAAAGGTAAATTAGCTGTTGAGAACAATAATTATTGTGTGCTAAAATATCATTTATTGAGTGCATGGCACTTGATAAAGGTAATATCTGTTCTTGCGAAGTTTTGAAGCCGATACTAAAATTCCCAATGACAGATTCAGAATGGGAGTTTCTGTGTTGTTCAGTGAAGTTGTCCCAGCTCACATGCACTGTTAAGTCATTCACTCTGTGGTTGGGGCTCCTTCCGTCTCCCCATTCCTGACACTGCTTGTTGACTCCGTAGTGCTGGGCACATCTGTCACTGCATGTTTCCCGAAATTTTCTTCCAGACGGTTGTTAATAGATATTGAATGGCTCATAGAGTCAAGTTTGAACCTTGTGTTTCAGTTTTCCTATTTTAATCCTCATTGAGAAACTGAATTATTTATTAGTTTCTGTGCTTCAGCATCTCTGTCACAATCGTTCATAGGTAATATTTTTGGCATGGACACACAGATTGTGAGATAGTCCAAGGCAGAAAGTTTTTATTTTTTTAGTCTACTGAAGTATTTGTATTATATTTTCTTCATAATTTGTAATGTAATTTGTTCATAAAAGGCACCGGGAGGGTCATCTGTTATAATAGGCAGGATATAGTTTTGGTTAGGCAGACCTGATTTCCAGCCTGCTTCTGCCACATGCTGGCTGTGCAGTTACGACTGCTACCTCTTTGTGCACTGATTTATTCTTTTGTAACACACATGTGGATATAAGGTGTGTCTTGATATTGACTATGGAAATTAGAATATTTATGAAGTACCTGATATAAAGCCTTCAATGTTCAATGAAATATTAGACAGGTAGCTGCTATCAGTTATTGCTGCTGATGGTGTTACAACTGTCCCTGAGACCTTTCATGCCAGGAAGTCTACACAACTCATTCTTTTGGGTCTCATTGATTCTGCAATTACTGAAGAATTAGAGTGGCGGCGGGGGTGAGGTGGGGGTGCCTTCCTGAAATGTCAGTTGGCTGTCCTGGCTTGAACTTGGGCCATGGCTCAGCTGACCTTCTCTGCGTGTGCCCTCTCTTGGCCTTTGTACAACACCATCTTTAATTGACCAGCATGGGACTCTGTCCTTTCCTGCTTGCCATTATCCTTGGATTCTTTCAGAGTAGGAGAGGAGGTGTCATCCACTCAACCCACTGTCATTTAACTCAGGGACGCAGAGTGTTGTCACAGCCATGGAGATACCTTGCAAAAAGTTCTTCGAAGAGGTCGAGGTTTTGATTCCACTGAGGTTCCTGCCCCTTTTACTGGAGATCCTCCTGTAAGTCAGGAGGTTCGTTGGTTTGTGTGCATCGTGGACAGTTTCTGTGCCATTAGCTGTCTGCAGTGGACTGCAGCATGGGGTCCTTTAGCCGGAGCGTCAGAGCCTTTGGATCACACTCTGACTGCATTTTGCAGATGGATGTGATCTCAAATATGGAAAAGAAATGGCAGGTTTGAAGACAATTGCTGAGTGAACCCAGTGATACGTGGTCCCTGGAGTCTACTTGCCTCATTGAACAATAAATCATAAAACCTGGAACGTTCATGTTTTCAGAACCATACAAACATTGTGTGGGAATTTAGCCTGTAACATCTTTGAGCTCTTTATCTGTGTCTCCTAAAGAAGTTCATGTCTCAGAGCAAAGAACTCCGTTTTACCAAACCGATGATTTAATGCAACTGGCTTAGTCCACTGTTAACCCAAGAAAATATTCCATTATTGCAAATATCTTCTTACCATTTATTTAAATTCTTGAGTTCATTTGTGCAAAACGAATCAATAAATATCTTTTGCTTCTCTTTTCCAGCATTCTTATTTTACTGTGCCTGACACCAGAGAACTTCCCAGCATCCCTGAAAATGTGAGTACATAACAAGAAGTTCAGTTGTTACTCTTCTGTATCTTCTAGTCTTTTTACTTATGAAATGCTGTACTTGAAGGCATTATTGTATAAAGTATAATTTTTGAAAGACTGTATTGTGAAAATAAAACAAATACAAAGGAAAGTACATTGTAAAAATGCAGTAGAGGAAGCATAGAATCAACGAGGGGCGATGGTTCCTGCTTCTCGAAGGTAATCAGCCACCTGTTAACAGGTTTGCCTTTCCTTCCTGTTTTCTCATATAGTTAAAATCACCCATTACCTAAGTGTCTTTTCCGTTTTCATTCATAAGAATTACCTGTGACTGTAGTGTTCCGTTTGCTGTGTTGTTTACTAGCCTTTCCCTCTACTATTGTACACTTAGGTCATTTCGATCTCTTTTTGTTGTCCTTATCAATGATACATTTCCATACGAAAGATCTTCCCTTTAGAGATTTCTTTATTAAGGTAGAATGACTCATGTAGTTGCATTTATACTTCTCACATTTCTATATCCTCTTTTCAGAGAATACAATGAAGTATTTGCTGATAAAGCAGGAGAACCGTGTTCCCCCAACCCCAATTGTTACGGCCTGAGGAGCTGAGACCCAAAGTGGGAGAGAGCAGAAGGTGAAGGCTGGCCTTCTGAGTGTGCTGAGTGGTGTGTCCACTCAAGGCTCACTTCAGAATGGCTTACAATGACTATGATCAGCAACATGTAGAACATAATACAGCATGGTCCTGCTTGGGCAGTTGATTACTTTTTAAAAATTGTACTAAAATATATGCAGAAAAATGAACATGTGAGCCATTTTTAAGTCTAAATTTCAGTAGTTTTAAGGACATTCATTCAATATGCATTTAGTTTCCAGACCTTTTTTGTCATACAAAAGTGAAGTTCTGCACCTGTTGAGCAGTAGTAGCTCTCTGGTCTCTCTCCGTCCTCCCTCCCCTTCCCTACTCCTCGCACTCCCCACTCCCCACCTACAGTCCTGGCCAACCAGTTCTGATTCATCTCTACGTGCACTCTTCTGAGTATTTCATTTAAATATGATCACAGTTTGGGTCCTTCCATGGCTGGCTGACTTCACTAGTACGGTTCAACATGTTGTGGTATATGCCAAAATAGTCTTCCCTTGTAAGGATGCACTCTTAGGAAGCTCCCACATTTTGCTCATCTGTTCATGCAGTGATGGTCACTTGAATTGTGTCCACTTTTGGCTGCTGTGCATCATATGGCTTTCAACATTGGTTTACATGTATCTGAGTTCCTGCTTTCAGTTGTTTTGGGTACAGTACATACCTGGTTACTTTTTTAAAGTGCGGGAATAAGTGGTGAATTTTTCCATAACTGCTGTAGATTCACAGAAAAGAAAATACATCTGTGTGTTGTCCATAGAGCACAGACAAATATCAAATAACCAAATGTAATTAATGAATTATGCTGCAGTGCTATAATTAGTTAGTGACCTTAATAAGCTTGGGTTGTTGAGCTATCCATTATCTTTATGATCAGGCTATGGTGGAAAATATCACTTCCTTTGTGTTTAACATTAAGTAATAATAATAATATTACTATTATTATTATTATTATTATTCATCAGCCCAGAGTCCCCATTTCAACAATAACTAGTATTTATGGAGTTCTGCTTATAAAAGACAGCATTCAGTGCCTTACCTATCTTGTGTCTACCTATCAACAAGCTTGGTGATAACTTACCATAACTATTCTCGTCTTATGGAAGGAGACAGAAGCCTGAGGGCGTAAATAACATATTCAAGATCATTCAGCAAAGAAATGGTAGCATCAGAATTTAGACTCTGATTTTTCTTAATACTGAACTGTCACATGCCATTTGAGTCCATAATTTTTACCTTTCACCTCTCAAAACAATCTCATTGACATGATGAAAGAATTATAAAATTAAGGAGAGAAATCTCCTCATACTGGCAGAGGAAACTTGGGAATTCCCCCCATATTAAGGTTCAGTGCCAGCCTGTCGTCTGTTTAATATATATAATGGACGAACCCAAATAGAACTGGAAAACTCTGCAGGAGGAGAAGATGTAGAGGTATCCGGGACCAATAGCAAAAGGCTACTGAAAGATTATTGTCAGGTGCTATGGAACATTTGTAAAAACTGATCATGTACTAGATCATGATAGCCATTTCAAAATAGAAAAATTCAGCTCTCACAGGTCACTGTCTTGCTGCAGTGAAATAAAATTGGAAATAAATAAGTTCAGTGCTTTGAAAATCATCTATTTGAAACAACTGTTGGGTCATAGATGCTTTTAAAAATTGATATTATTTAGGAGTTAATGACAATGAGAATGCTAGGCAACAATATTTAAGGAATGTGGCCAAAGCCACACTCAGGGGGAAATTCATAGCTCTGAATGCTTTTATTATAAATAAGAGATTTAGAAAAGAATGAGCTTTAATTCCCCTCCCACTGTTTTCCTCAAAATTGTTACAATAGTACATTCCTTGCTGTATATTACATGTATTTCCTGTTGCAGACATCACCTGTTTAATTTCCTGTAGAACATGAGAGTTTAGGTTTTTTACCACCTTTGACTCCCTCCCACAGAAACACACACACACACACACACACACACACACACACACACACACACAAATAACTCTCTCATTTCCTCTTTCCCATTCTTCCTCTGCCTTTAGAAGATGTTTACTTTTAATCATGTTACACTTTAATGAACAGGCTGAAGTAGATAGATTATGATCACATTTCTGTACAAGTTTTTATCATGTAAGAGTTCTCAGGTTTCACAGTCTTCCTCTTTCTGGAATTTACTCCCCACATTTTACTGAGATTTTCCAGTAGTTGTCTCAGAAAGGACTGTGTTAGACACACCATTTATAGACCTTGTGTAACTGCTACTATCTTGAATCTACTCTTGGTAGTTTGTGTCTCTTGGAAATCTCCCTTCAGAATCTTGAAGATAGTACTCACTCCGTCATTGAAGGTCAAGGATAATGGGGAGTATTAACTGCTTCTTCCTCTTCCCCCTCTTCCTTTTCTTTTTCTTCCCCCTCTCCTACCTTCCTCCTCTCAAGTTTTAAAAATGTATCTGAAAAAGGGAAAAAACGGGGAGACCTACATAGATGCTCCATCTGCTGGCTCGCTCCCCAAATGGCCACAACAGCTAGGGCTTTCCAGGCAGGCTGAAGCTAAGAGCTGGAAACGCTTTCTGTGTCTCCCATATGGGGGACAGGAACCCCAGTACTTGAGCTATCTTCTCTTGTCTTCCCAGGTGTGTTGGCAGGAAACTGGATAGGAATAAGGCAACGAGGACCTGAACAGAAGAGACAGGCAGAGTCCTCATCTACTGGTTTAATCCAGGGCTGGGCCAGATTGAGGCCAGGAGCCAGAAGCTCAGTCTGAGTTCACTCTGTGGGTGACAGGGACCCTGCCTGCTGCCTCCCAGGATTTGCATGAACAGGAAGCTTGAGCTGAAACCAAAGAGCTAGGGCTCAAACTCAGGCACTCCATATGTCTTAACCACCAGAAAGCCGACATCTCTTCCATTACTGTCTCTTCCCCAGTTCTTTTACTTGACTTCTTGTGAATGGGCATTACCGAGAAAGAGAAGAAATGAATTTATATTTAGTACACCATGTATTACTTTGGAAAGTTTATTTCTTCATTTGAAACTCAGCTGGTATCGCTTCCTAAATGGCTGCAGTGGTCAGAACCAGGCCAGACCTAAGCCAGGAGCCAGGAGCTTCTTCTGGAGCCTCCCATACTGGTGGCAGGGTCTGAGTGCTGGGAGCATCTTTTGCTTCTTTGCCCAGGCCATTAGAAGGAGCTGGATTAGAAACGGGACAGTCAGAACACAAACTGGCACCCACATGGGATGCCGATATTGCAGGTGGTAGCTTTACTTCTGTGTCACAATGCTGGCTTCTAAGTCACCATATTTTACTATGTTTCCCTACAAATAGACATTTTGATCATTTCTGATCTCTTCTAAGTAATGCTATGATTTTAAAAATTGCTGAGATTAAGTATGTACTCTGTTCATCTTTTTTCCTTTTGCAGACCAGGCATTCCATGAGAATTTAGTATTTAGGTGCCTGAAAGTTGTGATAATTTCTTAAATTTCATAACTGCAATTACTGAGATTAGATTGTTTTTTAAAAATGGGATATTATGGGGCCCGGCGCGGTGGCACAAGTGGTTAAGTCCTCGCCTTGCACGCCCGGGATCCCATGTGGGTGCCGGTTCTATCCTGGCAGCCCCGCTTCCCTTCCAGCTCCCTGCCTGTGGCCTGGGAAGGCGGCAGAGGACGGCCCAAAGCTTTGGGACCCTGCACCCATGTGGGAGACCCGGAAGAGGCTCCTGGCTTCGGATCGGCATAGTATCGGCCCGTTGTGCTCACTTGGGGAGTGAATCATCGGACGGAAGATCTTCCTCTCTGTCTCTCCTCTCTGTATATCCGCCTTTCCAATAATAAATAATAAAAATAAATCTTAAAAAATGGGATATTATATTTATATTCATTTATTCTTTATTTTATGACAGTTTAATAAGCATTGGGGTTTTTCCTCCCCTCCTGACTCAACCCCTCCCCCCTACATTGTTCTCCAGTCTTTCAATAATTGTATTTTGAGTGCCCTTTTTTTTTTTTGAGTGCCCTTTGAAGTCCATCATACTGCCATTGAGGTGTCTCCCAACAATGCAGGGGCTTATCCGTTGTTTCACTGTGAGTCTATCCTTATATTGCAAGAACAGGAATATACTTCTCTGTGTTTCTACCTATGGACATATTTATTTCCACTGCGCTTCCATTATACCTCCCCTTAGGTACAATCCACCAGGGGTTGAGAAGGAAAAATAAATAAATAAATAGATAAAATAATATTCATCTCCATGGTATTGTCGAACTCATAGCAGGGGTATCAGTGTGACGCTAGGGTGGTGCAATAGAGTGTCCAGTAGATTAGATTGTTTTTAAAACTGCCTTACCCATCA